ATAAATAAACGGTTTTAACAGTGATTTGAGATTGTTGTGCTTTGTAATTGCTGATTTGACGTAGTGTTATATGTTAAGCGGAGATTGATGTACCTACTCACGTTCATATAATACTATAGTTTGCCCAATTTATAGGTAGGTATCTTAATGTTTTTAAATTCTATGTTATTGTTTAGTATTTCATTTAATTTTTATTATTTTAACCATTGTTTTTTTTAGTCATCAATACCTTATAATGTTATTATACTGTTTATTAAATTATTTACACTGCCAAATATCACTAATTATAATAATAATTTTCAGTTTTAAAAATACCCAAGTGTTATTTAAGAGAAACCAAATTTTATAAAATCAATACAATAATATGTAAATAGGTATGTGATTATTTTGTTAAATTTACATTTTTAAATATTCATCAACCTAGTAAGGATTTAGTTTTCAAAAATTTTATTTTAATTTTGCATGATACATATACATTCATTAATACATATATCACTAGCATATTAGCAATTTAAATTTATCAAGAAATTTGTAAAAAAAAAAACAATTTGATTTTTGTTGACCCGCATAGGTTTCTGCTTTTGATACCTAGTTACTGAATTTTATTGCATAATCACATGGTTAGAGAGTTCATTTTGTACGTAAATTACAAATGTTAACCTATCCTATCATTAAATCCTAATATTTCTAAAATAAACATGTTAGTTATGATATTATATAATACTATATTTGAGTTATTTTATCCTGTATGTTCTAACTATGATTAAATATTGACGTAATGTTTGGAAATATTATACGTACCTACGTATAAACATAAACATACAATACCTAAGTATTAAGTAAAATAATATATAAACATGAATTTTAATCGAAAATAGTGATTTTAGATTGATAATTAATTAATTAATTATTCGATTCCATTAAGTCATTAAGCTCACTTTTAAAAATTGTTTTATTTTCATTTATATTTCTGTAAAACACAGATCAAGGCAAACTTTTAAAGTCATTAAAATATGTACTGCTTTAGTGCTTAGACAATAGTAGTTTTGCTATTGTAAACAATAATATAGTATGATTCATGCAATTATAGTTTGGTTTAAAGTTCCATAAGAACTTATGTTAGGAAATTATTATTATGAAATTCAAATTTTGGGTGTTGAAAATGTAGGTATGCATTTATAGAAGCTTAGTAAATGTAATTATCATTAATTAATGAGTAATAACCGCATTTTTTTTTTTTAATAATTAATAACAAGTAGGTACTATAATATATGGTTGATTTATTGATTATCTGTAACTGCTATATATGAGCGATCCATACACCAATATCGGTATATCACACCTTTACGTTATTCGGTAGTATTAGTATTGAACTATGGGTAAAATTAAGTATCAGCTGACGTACGTTAAATATAAAAGGTTAACCACATTATTCTACTTATTGAATATAAGGATTTATAAATCACTATATCATCTACTTGAGTTAATTTTCTTATATTTTTAAGCTTCGTTTTTTGATTTATTATGATTAACTATTTCATAAAATACAATTATTGTGCAAATAGGCA